TTTACACCCTTTAATGCAGGTTCTGATGTTTACACCCTTTAATGCAGATTGTTCCGGGACCACCACCGGCCGCGGGGGGGCTGGCTTAGCACTGCTGGATCTGGAATGCATGCTAAATAAGCAGACAGTGAGTGTCAAAGGTTTCTCTGCTGGACGTGGGCCCACACAGTAACTGGGGCGAGGGCTGGGGGGGGGGCGGGGGGGGGGGGGCTGGCTGCAGGATTGTATTGCAGAGCTCGAACTGTATATCCTCACAGGCATTTAATCCCTGCGTGTTGATCACACCAGGGCCCATGCCACGCAGCACACAGCCCGGACTAATCTGCAATGCCTTCAGTAATTAACACCCTTTGCACAGGTTCACCAGAAATACCGAGAGCACTCAGTGACAGCCTTTCCTGATAGAGTAGTTAAGCACTTTACCAGTTACAACTGAGAGCTTTATCCCTTCACGTAGTGCTGTTCAAAAGTCCTAAGCATCCCTTCTATAACATGTAATGACAGCATATTTGAACAGAGAATAATGATAACACTGGACCTCGGTATTATTTAAGAAGTGTCCTGGCAGAGAGCAGAACAAAAACTGACCAACATCTAAAGAAAAGCATTGGGAAGTCCTTCCATCAGACTTCTAAAGACTGACTAAGGTTCAGGCTGTGTTGGAGAACAAATAACTTGTGGTGCATTTTGATGTAACAACTGCGAAAACAACATAAAAAAAGTCTGGACATCTGAAGGGACGCTCTTAAAATCTGAAAAATTTCAAATAACTATAATGTCATTCTCACAAGAAGAAACTTTGTCAATTTTCCCTTTCAAGTGTGTTTTCACTCCCAAATATCCAAAATTAAATTTCAGTTATCTAAGATTGACATTCTGGATCTTAAATAGAATTAATACCTGGAGAAACATCTACTATTCATTATCCAATTATTATTCATATTTATGGATTTAAAAATGAAAAAAACAAAAATACTCTAGCTATCAATCATTACGTTTTCAAGATGAAGAATTTCATGAATAAAAATGTCATCAGAGAAACAGTATTACTGCTGATGATATTCGCAAATGACGTTTCTGATTTTCTTTTTCAATTATTTCAACTGTGGAGGTCTTTTCTAATGAACATGGCTGCCCCAGTTTATATCTTTAATCAAATTTAAGTATTTTTCTGTATTGAAATGTTTATTCAAAGATACCTTCGAACACATTTTTGTGTGAATGTTCTTCACATTTGGATCAATTAAAATAGGGATCAAATAAAAATAATAAAATAATAAACAAATAAATGAATAAAGTAGAACAGAATTATTATTATTGTAAACATTGCATTTTACATTCTGTATGCAGTGTTGTTGTTTTTTTTGGGGGGGGGGTTGGATTTGGATTATTTTATTCTAGCGAATCTAATTAAGAATTCTATGTCATATGTCCAGAATAAACCAAGTACAGATGAAAAAAGTGAGAAATCTCCGATGGAACGTTAATTTGGTCAGGAAGAAATGATCAAAGGGTTATTAAAGGATTTCTGAAACATGTACCCAGTCTAGCAAATAAACCTTAAAGCTGCCAATTTAAAAAAAAACAATATTTGTAGACATCTGAAATGTAGTTACGACTTGTATAATGTTTTTTTTCCTGGGCAAGGACTGTTTGCAAATGACAACGATGACTTCTGCAGTTCTCTCTTTTATTTGGTCTGTTTGTCGTTTTGCTTGCAGTAATTTGCACTCAAGCCACTTTTTAAATTCCCTGTCAGCCTTTTACATTATTAATAAATTGTTTATATGGATATTTATTTGGAGGTAAGATGTTTTTATTTCACCATTATGAGAAAACTAGACTTGTCCTCGGTGGCGCTAAATTATAAATTCCTATTTTGAATCTTTTGCCTTGAAGGCGTCGTGCGCTCTTAAATGACGTCACTTATGCGACGCGCTTCACCATGAGGAGTTGTGTGGCAACAGAGAGGCGCTTGTCAGCGTAGAGTTGGAGCTTCGGCTCGACAGACCGTGGCTGGTTTATCCGTGGAGCCGGGAAGCTAAACTCAGCCCAGCGGCTTGTAAATGCTGTGTTTCAGCCCTCTGCGGAGCCAGCTAGCATCGAGCTAGCACCATTCACCGTCTGCAGATGGCTGATGACGGCGTGAAAAACGAGGCTCCTGCCCCGCCGGAGGGCGAAAGCGAAGGTAACACCGGTGTTCCAAACCAAACCCTCTCCAAGAGGCAGATGAAGAAGCTCCTGAAGCAGCAGAAGTGGGAGGAGGAACGAGACCTGCGGAAGTAAGTGCACCCCTTTAAAAACTCTGCCCTTATTTCATGGTTTGACCAAGTTAATGTATGGGACGAACACTACAGGGCTGATAAAGTCAGACGACTGAGAGCTCTCTGATAAGTCACCAGGGCTTTGCCTCAGTTAGGACCATTCAACTCTTTTTATAAATGTTTTTGTCTCCAATTCATTATTTATTCGAGCAGCCAAAGGCAGGAGTTGTGGTTGGTCCACCTTTACCGATTCTTTTAAGAGGGTAACTGATGATAATCCACCAGGAAGTCCTTTTTATACGCACCTGCTTTGCTCTGGTTTAGAAACACATCACCAATGTCTGCTATAAGTTTGCACAATGACATGTGACCAAACATCTTGGACAGTGGACAGACAATCCCAAAGTCTAACCTGAGGAAATGAGCGTTGGCCCGCCACACACACACACATCCATCCATCCATCCATTCTCCTCCGCTTATCCGTGGTCAGCAGCTGAAGCAGGGAGACCCAGGCTTCCCTCTCCCCGGCCACTTCTGCCAGCTCCTCCGGGGGGGTCCCGAGGCGTTCCCAGGCCAGCCGGGACACATAGTCCCTCCAGCGGGTCCTGGGTCTTCCTCTGGGCCTTTTCCCGGTGGGACGAGCCCGGAACACCTCCCCAGGGAGGTGACCAGGAGGCATCCTGATCAGATGCCCGAGCCACCTCAACTGGCTCCTCTCCACGTGGAGGAGCAGCGGCTCTACTCTGAGCCCCTCCCGGATGGCCGGGCTTCTCTCCCTATCTCTAAGGGAGAACCCAGCCACCCTGCGGAGGAAACTCATTTCAGCCGCTTGTGTCCGGGATCTCGTTCTTTCGGTCACTACCCAAAGTTCGTGGCCATAGACAAGGGTGGGAACGTAGATCGACCGATAAATTGAGAGCTTCGCTTTTAAGCTCAGCTCTCTCTGTTAACTCATTGGCTGCCAAAGACGTCTATAGAGGTATTTTATGTTTTTCAACAAGAGTGGCTGGGGGACGATCTGCTAAAGCTTGTCCGTAAATATGGGCTTCTAGACAGAGTATGTAGTAACAAATTGACCCTCTAGGGGGCAGTGCCACTTTTGATGGGAGATGAGCATAGACTGTAGGCAAATAAGAAAAAGGGAACGGTTCTATGAGAGAACATGTCGCCGGTGAGACGCAAGTCCAGGAAGAACGGAATAAGGTAGAAACACATTTTTTTTCCTGATGAAAGAAGAGAGTCTACTCTTTCTTTTGGTGTGTTCGGTGTTTACATAGTCATAGCACAAACTATTCTGTGGCTCTTGAAAAATCAGTCAAAATGCTCAGAAAACTCTGGCAGTATGGGACTCTGTTCTGAAAATGGCTGCCAGTCAATGAGTTAATGACGCCACACGCATTCAGCTTGAATCATCCATAAACTCTGGGTTCTAGCTAGTTACCTGCAGTGTTAGTCACATGACTCTCCTCCCCACAGGCAGAGGAGGAAAGACAGGAAGCAGCAGCGCCGGCAGCAGAGGCAGAGCCTCCAGGAGAGGGGGGGGGAGGGTCCCGACGGCCAGAGCCACCGGGGGGGGGAGGGTCCCGACGGCCAGAGCGCCCGGAAGCGCCCGCGCAGGGAGGCCACGCCCAGCCCGCTGCGGCTGGTGGTGGACTGCAGCTTCAACAGCCTCATGCACCTGAAGGTAAGCGGGGGGCGCCTTACCGCAGCCCCCCCCCTGGGCAGGCGTCCACCACCTATCAATCAATCAATCAATGTTTATTTATATAGCACTCTACAACAACCGGAGCTGACCAAAGTGCTTTACAGAATAAAATCAGATCAAACTATCGAAACATACAAAGACAAACACATTGGTGACAGAACCCAGTATACAGAGATTTTACGTGCAAAAAGCCATCCTGAACAAACACGTTTTAAGTTGAGCTTTGAACAGAGGCAGGTCAGTAAATGATCGTAACTCAGTGGGCAGAGAGTTCCACAGTTTAGGACCTGCCACTGCTAAAGAGCGGTCACCCACACTGCCTGCACCTGGACCGTGGGACCTCCAGCAGACGTTGACCAGCAGAACAAAGTGGTCTGCTGGGCTGCTGAAACCTCAAAATTTCACTTGTATAAAAAGACGCAAGGCCATTAACTGCTCGAAAGACAAACAAGAGTATTTTGAATTGAATCCTGTACTGTACTGGGAGCCAGTGTAGGGAGTGGAGGACAGGTGTGATGTGGTCACGTCTACCTATCTTTGATTGGGGTCATTGTCTCCTCAGGATGTCCGGAAGCTTCACAAACAGATCCAGCGCTGCTACGCCGAGAACAGACGCGCCTCCCACCCGGTGCAGGTCAGTGTCCGCTGCCCCCGCCGGCCCCCGCTGACCCCTGGAGCTGTGATGGACCTGCTCCTCTCTCTCTGTCTCAGTTCTATCTGACCAGCCTGGGGGGGCCGCTGAAACAGAGCATGGACGAGAAGGACAAAGGATGGCTGAACTGGAAGGTAA